TAATTTTTTGAAAAATATGTCTTGTAACACTTTCGCATCTTTACTGACTAAAACTGTAAAAAAAAATTTTTTTTAATCTTACTGAACTGTAGTGTAAATATTTGATGTATATATATATATATATATATATATGTATTTATATAAACAGTGATTTGACATTCTAAATATTTGCACACAATGATAATATAAAATATATGCTTTTTAACAGATATTAATATTAAATATGTTTATTAATTATTATTTGCAAAAATCATTCATGTTACTTTGAAATTTCTAACATTATAATAAAGAGTGTATGTCATGTCCTTCCTTGGTGTGTTGTAATGGAATAGCTTCTTGTCCTTTGAAAAAAAAAGCATATTCTAGCAGATTTTTTTTTAGCATAGAGGTTGCTGTTTACGTAATGGAAAATCACTCCTCAAAATGTACTTTTAAAAAACAGGAAATGCACTAAATTGAGTCTTTGCCATCTCCCCCTCTCTGTGTGTGTCGTTCTCTGGCTCTGACTTGTTGTTCTGTGTTGTTGAGTTCTTACTATGTCAGTGCTTTCCTCCAAATGAAAGGTGCTCTAGTGAAACATAACACAATAGTTAATCTCATCATTTATAGCCCTTTTGTGATTTTACAGCTCATGCTAAGCTTTTAATGTTGTTTATACATTTTTCTTTTATCTTAATTTAAACAGCCTTTCATCGAAAACATTTTCTGCTTAATTAATTTACTTTTCTAAAAGCACCTTTTCAAATGTATTGTTGCTTTTAGGTTTCCATTCCAACTACACAAATACAGAGCTCTGGCATGAAACTCTAGATGGCGCAGTCCGATAGGTCTAGCTCAATCTGTCCTGGTGACATCATTGTCACATGGCAGCTGATTGGTTCTCTCCTGTATCGGTAGCCAATGAGCTCGCTGCTCAATATTCAAATACCTGGCTTTTGTTTGCTGTAGCAGTTGGCAGCGCACTTTAGGGCTGTGTATCACCGGCAAAGTCACGATACAGAGGCCACGATACGATATGTATCACGATACATGACTGCACTGAATTTAACCTCAGCAGAATTTAGAAAAACAGCTGTTTATTAAACACTGCTTACTATAGTGCCATTTCTAACTATTGGCAGAGCAGGCAGCTGACCTCTGCACTATGAAGGGCCTCCATAACTGTACCACAGTACAATATACAGTGGGGCAAAAAAGTATTTAGTCAGCCACCAATTGTGCAAGTTCTCCCACTTAAAAAGATGAGAGAGGCCTGTAATTTTCATCATAGGTATACCTCAACTATGAGAGACAAAATGAGAAAAAAAAATCCAGAAAATCACATTGTAGGATTTTTAAAGAATGAATTAGTAAATTCCTCGGTAAAATAAGTATTTGGCCACCCAGCTTCACTGTTAATAGAGAAACGCGGCAAAACGGTGGTAATTCATACATACACAGCCTCTCTCTCTCTATCTCTCTCTCTCTCTGTGTGTTGTAAATGAACACTTGATGAATTACACTTTTCTGAGAATAGAACATCGAAGTGGAGATCGTTAAACTGCAAGCTAACCGCTGTTTTCAGAAAGCAAGCGCATTTATCGGAACACAACTGGCCGCAGAGGAACACAACTGGGTTCCTCTGCGGCCAGATTAAACCTTATTGTAGCCTATATATGCTCTATTCATTGTTTTTTAGAAACCTCACACTTTTCTACTCTATTTTAAACGTTGTAAAATTATAAACAAATCTAATCTGAAATTATGTGGATATTATCTTGAATCTCAGAAGACTAAAGCTTCACCTCACAGTCTCAGAAAGTCACAATGTAACTCTGGAAAAAAAACTAAGAGTATGTTACTAAACATCCTGGAAAATAAAAGCAAAAGCGAGAGCAGCATTTACCATTTAAGCACTTCAGAGAGGGCAGATAAGAGCGGCCAATGTAGCAAAGTCACAGAATCTAAATCAACAAATGAAGCTCTGAATGAAGCTCTCTTTCTTGGGAAAGAGAGGAAGGGGCGACGTGACGGTTGGAAGGTGTGTAGACTACTAGGACTTAGACAGGAATGGATAGAGGGGGAAAAGAGAGACAGAAATAAGAGACAGATGGAGAGATGGACAATTCTGGAACATCTTTTGATGTAGAAGCGCATGTGGGTATAGAGGACAATACAGATCAGCCGTTCACGTCTCATGAACTTTCCACCTCTTTCTTTCTGTGAACCTACACTGAAGTTCAAACACACCTACGCTTTCTATGTTTGACTTTTTCACATTTTAACAATAACTAATGACTCAAGTGGAAATATGGATATGATGTAGTTCATCTTTAAAACTAATTTATTTAGGCTTCATTTTGGCTTCTCAATCAAGAAGTGGATCATAAATTTGGGAAGGAGGCCTCTCATCTTTCCAGCATTCATTACAAGCATTTTTCCACACTTCTGCATGTAAAGAGTGATTGAAGACTCTCGGTGGGGAAAGACAAAGAGGAATGAAGCCCCTCGCGCCAACTTTCAGACCAACGGGAACGTGCCGAGCACCAGGGTGCCTTTCTCAAAAGGAACAGTTGCATAAGGGATCCGACGCTCCCCTCCCTTTTCAATGAGGATGGTTTTATGAAAACACCTTTGACTGAATGACATCCTGTGAAGTGATGTTGACATTCTTGTTGCAATCAACCATCAAACCCCAATCCGACTGGTTTCATCCAACTCCTTGTTGTCTTTCATCAGGGGCACTTTATCATCTCGCACTCTCCTTTTCTTTATTCTTTCGCTTTCTCTCTCTCTCTCTCTCTCTCTCTATACGTTCTTCTTGTGTTGGTTAAATTCACTGCGCGGGTACAGTGAATTTATGTCTTATGTATCCTAGTAAGGATGCTCAAATACTGCTGCACTGATACCAAATCTAGCCTGACATACACTACTTACACTGGATTTGTTTTTCATTATCACTACTAAAACTTGCAGCTTTACTTAATTACTACTATATGTATGGAATTAATACTATGGGCAATTTATATTTTACTTAAAGGGATAGTTCACCCAAAAATGAAAATTTGATGTTTATCTGCATGCTACACGTAGGTTAATATTGCTGTTTTTTACATTTACTTGAATTTTCTTTGCAGGGATTTAAAGCTAGACAACATTCTGCTGGATGCAGAGGGTCACTGTAAGCTGGCAGACTTTGGCATGTGTAAGGAGGGAATCCTGGAAGGCATCACAACCACAACATTCTGTGGCACACCAGATTACATTGCCCCGGAGGTACAGTATTTCACACTCTCACACACACAAATGCACATTCATAGTGCATCTTTTCTACTGTTTGGTTCTCATTAAAGCTATAACATTATTTTATTTGGTCACACTTCATTTTAAAGTCCAAATCTCACTATTAACTATGACTTTTGCCTCAATAAATTCCTAATTACTGTGTATTAATAGTTAGTAGGGCAGTTGTTAGGTTTAGGTATGGGGTGGATTAAGGGATCTAAAATATGGTCATGCAGAACAAGGCATTAATATGTGCTTTATAAGTACTAATAACAGCCATAATAATAATAATAATAATATGCTTACTAATAAACAACTAGTTAATAGTGAGAATTTGTCCCTACAGTGTAACCTTTTATTTTTATATTTTTGTTAATTTACTGATGTATATATTCTTGAAAAAGTCAGATATTTACTCCATTATTGAGCAATCACTAGCTTTCATATCGTGGTCCTGATTCAAGCACTCAACATTTCTGAGTTGTTTGCAAAATTATTCTTACGTAATTGATGTATTTGAATTAATGTTGCGATTTACTTTAGAATGGTTTTACAGACAGTCGTTACAAATAGAGATATTTGTTTCATGAATGTGGCCCAATTAAATTGTTTTCATTTTTCAGTGTTTTCCCATTTTAGTTGTTCATTATCTTCAGAGCTATCTTTTGTTTACAGTAATAACCATATATGGCTGCAGAATTTCACTGAAAACTCGAACGAAATGCCCATTATTCATAATGTTTACCATTTCCCCCATCTCTGCATATCTTGCATTTCTTATTAAAAGTCTGACATATAAAATAATAGCCTGAAAAATCCAAGTCTTTAAAATGGCATAGTTTATTGATCCTTCAGAAAAAAAAAAGGGGTTGCTTATGTTTCCTTCTTTGTGTGTGTGTGTGTATCATATTTGATACAACATGCTTTTAAGGCTCATATAGACATGCTTTAAGAGAATATGGAGCTCATATATCATGGACACCTGAGTTTTATTCAGAGGCCCAAACTGAGCAAACATTAAGATTAAAAAAGATGAAAAGCTTGTAATGTAAATCAATAAGATCTTTATTAGAGTATAGCAGATTGCTTACATAAAAGCACTCTATATCTTATAAAGAAGACCTCAGATGATGCTAAACCTGGAACAACATACACAACTACCATATTTTGCTATAAGTTTAATCGCAACATATAATCATTGCAGTTAATAGTGTTCACCGTCTGTTTGATTACATGCAATTTGTAACTAACTGCATGATTTTTACTGTACATTTGTAGAAACTTAACATTTTCTGTAAAGCTGCTTTGCAACGATTTGTATTGTGAAAAGCGCTATACAAATGAACTTGAATTTAATTCATTTAATCTTGCAATAATAAGTTTAAGATATTTAAGTGCTTAGTTTTATATGACTCTGTAGTTTTTATTGCGGAGGCATGCTGATTGAGATGAGCAAATAAATGTTCCTCAAAAGACTGATGTATAATATTTGATGCTTACATTTTAACATGATTTTTTTATTTAAAAAAAAAAAGGTGTTCAAATAAGTGTTCATCTTGAAATAGTACTAACAACATAAAAGTTATTCCAACATTTACTTTATAGAAATCAGTAAAGATTTCACAGCAAAAAGACACACGATCCACAACCTGAAGGTTTTACTTTTAGAATTATACTAAAAAGCCTTTTACTTGCCAAAAGCACAAGGTATCAATCAGACATGTAGAAGATTCAGCAGTTTTGATCATGTTAATAATTTAGAGGACTTAGAAGTTTTGCATATCAGATATGATACAGTAGGCTTTATAGAGTCAAATATAACAGCTGATTTGATCATAATTTTCAACTCCCAATATACCATCATCTCCATTTAACACTTTACACCATGTGTTAATTAATTCTGCACAAATCTGAAGGATTTCCTCACAAAACCAGCAAAGTGCTTTCATCTGAGTCTGAGCTGGACGTGATCATGTATATTGAATTATTCTGTTTCAAACTTTAGATTTATGGAGCTTTGTGGTTTGCAGATCCTGCAGGAGCTTGAGTACGGCCCGTCAGTGGACTGGTGGGCTCTAGGTGTGCTGATGTACGAGATGATGGCTGGTCAGCCTCCTTTTGAAGCAGATAATGAGGACGACCTTTTTGAGTCTATTCTCCATGATGACGTCCTATATCCCGTGTGGCTCAGCAAAGAGGCCGTCAGCATTCTTAAAGCGGTACGTGTCCGGATTTACTCATGGATCACTCTGGGGATTCCCTACGGATACATTTTGCCTGCTGATTATTACTAAAGACATAGGTACCACCTGATAACCTTTCCTCTTACTACTGTCTGCTTGCTCTCACACTCTTCTTGAAAGAATAGTTAAGTAACAGAAGAGCAAAAGAAGGCGAAAGCTCAGAAAAACGACACTCCTTGTGGGAAAAGAACAGATTGTTTGTGTTCCCTGCTGGAGTTTTGGGTTGTGTAATCTCAGAGGTCTCGTTTCAGGATATACAGCCCACCATTGCATGGGTTCCTCCTCTTTTAACTGTTCAAATTGGTTAAGTGCATATGACAAAGAGCTGAGGAACATTCTATTGCTCAGAAGCAGATTTGTTTTAGGTCATGTTTCATTTATATATCTGCTTTGTCTCCAGTGCATCCACTGAAAAATCAAAAGTAGACACAAACTGTTGACAAATAGTATAGAGCTATAAAATGAATGAGAATAGTACAGCTCGGATCATTCAGTCTTTAAAATATTTGATGATCTTTTCTGAAACTCTACAGAAGACATATATTATTATGTAATTAAAATGTCATAATGAACTCACCCATATGCTTTTATTTCTTCTGTGGAACAAAAAATGAGATATTTTATATTTTATTGCAGCTCTTTTGTTTTCCATACAAAATTTAAATAAATGAAAAAATAAATAAATAAATAAATAAGACCATACAACTTGTGTGCTATATTCTGGTTAATTTTAACCATTTATTTATTTTTATTTTTATTTTTTTCTCAATTACACTCTTAAAAATAAAGGTGCTTAAAAGGTTCTTCAAGCGATGCCGTAGAAGAACCATTTTTGGTTCCACAAAGAACCATTCAAACAAAAGTTCTTTAAAGAACCAACTCTTTCTTACCTTTTTATAATCTGAAGAATCGTCTTTCACCACAAAAAAATATTTTGTGAAACAGAAAGTTTCTTCAGATGTTAACGGTTCTTTATGGAACCATTCAGACAAAAAGGTTCTTCTATGGCATCGTGAAGCACCTTTATTTTTAAGAGTGTAACTGGTTCATATCAGACGGAACAATTCAACCTATTCAAGTCCATTTTCAACCAAACTTTTCTGATTCCACTTACCAAAACTCTCAGTTTATCTGACAATAACACTGAAAAGCTCATATATGAACATTTATATATGCATATATATATATATATATATATATATATATATATAAAAACATTTTTAGTGAATTGTTGGCCTTCTGGAAAGTATGTTAATTTACTGTACATGTACTTAATACTTGGTAGGGGCTCCTTTTGCTTTAATTACTGCCTCAATTCGGTGTGGCATGGAGGTGATCAGTTAGCGGGTGAGAGGTTGCTGATCACCTCCATTACTTCACTGTTGTATGCCTGTATTTATGTAACACCGTGGTCCTGTGAGGCACGACATTTCGTTCCACTG